AGGTTGGAAGTCACTTCTTTATATATTTCTTTTCTTTTTCTTTATTATATTCTTTCTTTTTTCTTTTTTTCTTTTTTCCTACACTTTTTATTCTTTTTTCCTATTCTCTTCTCTTTTTCTAAGTTTAGTTTATATTAGTTTTTACTATTGTAATCAAAATTCTTAATAAAAAACCAGGATCTTCTTGTGGGGAAAATAGGAGACGGGAGTAACTGTAAATGAAATTGTTAAAGGGTACAGCCAATCCCATCAGGATGTTGTTTTACATTATAACTGATCACACATTAATTGTAAGAAACTGGCTTATATAACAGCTCAATAAATACATGGTTTTTAGTTAATCGGTGAATGTCTTATCAGATATCAGAGGCCACATCTGTGTCTTTTCATCTCCTATTTTCGGGATCTTGTTCTGCATCTGTTCTTTAATTAATTTTATGCTTCTTCCTATATTCAAACTAATATCTTTGGTGCAGTTTGATAAAGCTATCTAGCTTGAAGAACTGTGTGGGTCCAATTGCTTGGACTGTTTAGGTCCAAACCTTGCTTAGTCAGGATTGTAAGAGGATTTTCTGGGATTTATTCTTGAGAGCTAGAATAGGTCTGAACATTCTCTATAAACCTGATGATCCGATTAACCTTTCTGTTTCTTAGCTTCTCACACTCTTCCCACATGGTGTCTGGATGCTTAATCCTTAAAATAGATTTGAAGAAGAGAGGGATGGTTTTAGTTATCTATTGTATTTTACTCTGATTATAACTAAAGTGTAAACATGAGTTCCAGGGCTTCTCAGAGGAATGAGCAATACATAATTTTCCAATTGATTCATGTATTTATGAATTAAAAAGTAAGTTCTGTAATATAATTTAATTTCTGGTTTTGTATTTTATATTTGAATATATTCTAATTGATAAAGTGAAGGACTTCTAATGTACTTTACCAAAGTTCTAGAAAAAAGTTGGGTGGGGTGTTATAGAGCAAGAAAACGATATATTTGTTGCAGTTATGTCCTGTCTTTTCTCTAGGAGTCAAAGCTTTCTCTATTTTATCGTTAAACAGTGTTCTGCTGTAAGTTAGATTGAGAGATGTGATTTCTCGGAAGTCACTACATGGCTGGGATTTGAACTGTAGCTACTACACCACAGCAATACTCACATCAATCATTGAGCTGCTGCAGTTCTTGATTGCTTGCAGAGCTTTTCCAGTTCTCTTTAAATATCTTGAATATTGTTGGTGGCCTCTTAAATTGGCTGATATTCAGGGCTGTTGTAACTTTCACACTGAGGCAATGTGGCCTGAAATGGCCTTACAAGATTTCATTTTCCTTCCCTAGACGGGCCAATTGCTACACACTGTCTTTTGTGTCCCATTTTCATGCTTTTTTTCAGTTGCTTTTTTTGGGGCAGGCACTTGGCCATGAACTGGATAGGCATCTACATTTCTACTCTTCCAGAAACAGCTGAGAGAGGGAAAGGGGAAACTAGTTTGCCAGGTGTTACCACCTCCAAGCAATCCAGGTTCCTTGAGATGGAGGCAGCTGAAAGAATAGGTTTCCCTCGGAGGGAAGTCTGTGGGATCTGTCATTGCAAAGTGCACTTGACAAAGTTATCCTGAACCAAATCAGTGCAACATTATCAAATCTCAGTTGCATCAGCTCATATTGTCAGTTGGATATGTGTGTCAATTCAAGGGGAGGGATCTTATCCTCAGAACCTAGACTGCAGTGGGACAGAACTGCAGATATGTACAAGCTTAAGACAGGGGGTTGCAATCTGGGTTTTGAAGACTGTATTTGTCAGCCCAAATTAATCTATTAAAATAAATTAAGGGGGGGGGAAATATTCTTTATCCCTCATTCTCATTCTCTCCTGGGTTACAGCCTAAAAGATTTAAGTCCTCTTTCATGAAGCTTGAATGCATGGAGTAGGCAATACTTGGGGGAATTGATGTTAAGTGAATGTTATGTTTTAGCTATAGGTTTTTCAAGATTTAAAAAATCATAGGAATGATCTGCCAGTTAGTTAACTAAGATCCAGCTGGGAAGATGGTAGCGGAATTCAGTATTAAAAGGTAAATAAAAGTGCTGTGTAAGATCAAATGAGATCCTACTTGCACATTTATATAAAAACATACAAACTGTTAAAATAAAACAAGTCTATAGATTAACGTGTAAACCAGTGCGTGATTACTTAAATGTTACTTTTATTGGGATGTACTTCAAAGTAAATGTACTATGAGTGTATGTTTGTTTTGGAAACTCTTGATTCTGCCTCTGGTCAAACAGTAGAAATTTGAACAATTAGCATGAGAAGCGCTTGAACACAAAGCAATATATTGGGGATTAAGTACACATTAAACTAGAGTGCATGTTTGCATTTGTAGAATGCTTAATTATTCGATGATAAACACTACTGACATTTCAAGAGGAAAAATTTGATGCTACTTTCCAATTACAGAAAAGTTGGATGTAAGGTATTTCATGCCTTTTTTTTTTTTAAATAGAACCACCGCTGGAAAAATTCAAACCAGTTTGTATGGACTAATGGACTGCAGACTCTGTTTGTTTTCCAGAGACTGGGTAAGAATTAAGTTGTATCATTTCCCTTTGTGTCATGCCTTCTGAACATTTTAATGAAGATGGCCTAGTCAGCATTTCTCCTATGTAAGCAGATGGAATGGCATATGAGAAATTTAGGAATTGTGTCAGTTATCTATGTCAGACATTAGATCATTTAGTTCATTATTGTGTACAATCACCAGCCAATGGTTCTTTGAGTTTTCAGGCAACATTTTCCAATCCCTCTGTGAAGATACTGGGAGTTGCATACAAACAATTTGCCCTTCCACAGATTTGCTAGTAAATACTTGTTTGTAGAGAGCTTTGGAATATTCCCCCAAACTAGAAGTCCCCTTAGGAACAATGGTGAAATTTTCTTGGCTGGGGGGAAATTGGAGAGCCAGTTTGGTGTAGTGGTTGAAGGCACTGGGCTAAATACTGGGAGACTGTGAGTTCTAGTCTTGCTTTAGGTACAAAGCCAACTAGGTAAGTCTGGACCAGTCACTCTCTCTCAGCCCTAGGAAGAAGCAGTGGCAAACACTTCTGAAAAATGTTTCCAAGAAAATTACATGGACTTGTCCATATAGTCATCAGGAGTCAAGAATGACTTGAAGACACACATACACAAAAGTGAGGGGGGGAATTGGGGATCTTGATAACGCAATTCTTTTTGATTGCAGTGGCTGTGCTATACTACTATTTCTACAAGAGGACAGCTGTTCATCTGGGGGACCCGCGTTTCTACCAAGACTCTCTTTGGTTACGGAAAGAGTTTGCTCAAGTCCGCAGCTGAGAGCTACTTCTGAATTATATGGAGCTGCTGGAATGTTAAAGAGACCTTAATCAGTATCTTGGAGCAAGTTCTCTCTCTTTTTTTTTTATAGTCTGATGATTTTATAGTCTGATGATTTTTAAATCATCTTATGAGATGATTTAATGCATGATACTATTCTTCTGTGGAGTCTCTGTCACTACATATCAGCTTCCATGCATCCTCTCAGATCTCCATACTGCACTTTCAGGAGTTGGTTGCAATTTTATTGAGGAATATCTGAAGTGCCAAATTGGTTTGGCTGAGAACTCTGAGTAGCAGTGCTGCAGTTTCTTTTGACAAATGGATTCCGTCAATCCATTTGCTCTCTCTGACAAAAAGGTTTCCCGCCTTTATTATAGGCAGTGCAATTAGTTCCAAACCTTTACAGTAAGCAAATGTATTCTCATTGACTTTGATTTTTCTTTTGTACTTATTTTTATAAGTTATGAGAAAATAAATCTGCCATTTTGCAATAGCCATAGTGTAACTGTTTTTTTTTCTAGGATCTAATAGTAACAGAGGATTCATGTCAGTTTAAGTTTTAATATTCTATGTGCATATATTCATTTTGTTGACCTTAAATTGAACCGCACAAATTGTAACATTGCATTATAATCAGAATCAGGGAAAGAAGCATATTATTTAACTTGGTTTCATGCCAAGCCATGATGTATTTAGCCTTGATTCTTTGCATAATATACTAAGCAAAAAATAAAATGTATTTTGTCTGAATACTATTTGTTCAGCAAGTCCCTGAGTTGGGTATAATGCAGATTGAGATAGCAAACCTTGTTATTAAAACAGAAGATCCAGGCAGCTTTATATTTTAGAATCATAGTGTAGGAATCCAAATGAAAGCATGCCCGACAGGTAACTGTTTAGCCTCTGTTTGAACATATCCAGTGAGAAAGAATCCTGCACTGTGGAGTGATACGAAACACGTGTTAATCCTATGTGGGACATTCTTTCAAGGTTTTGAAGAGTGCTACTATATTTCCCTTCAGTCTTCTCCAGGTTAAACACTCCTAATACCTTCAATCTTTCTTCCTAAGGCTTGTTTCTAGTCCCCTGAAGGTCCTTCTCTGAACCCCCGTCAGTCTCTGATCCGTGAGAGTGGAGCAATGAAGGTTGCAGCTCCTGACACCCCACCACTACGGTGCAAGCACAGCAGATGATCCAGGGGATGGGTGCCCCCCCATAAAACAGGAGCAGAAAGCCCCCCCACCCACAGCACAGAGCAGGTTTTGGCAGGTGGCTAAGTTTACTGTTCTAGCTGTCTGTCAACACCTCCTCTCTGCCCCATTAGGGAAAGCCTTAAGTGAGCGTTTTTCCTACTAGCAGAGAAATCCACCAATTGCTGCAACTTAAACTGCCTTACAATAAACTGAAAGCAGCTACGCAGAGCATATTCATATTGTACTTTGTGCCGCCTCCTAGACTGGAGGGTAGTAACATTAAGCGACTCTCTGGATGTGCCCCGTGTGTAGCACAAACCCACGGTTTGTTCCAGTTGTAGACAGAAATGGGTGGAAGCGGCATCTCATTAAAGCCCTTTGCTGCAACTTCAGTACCTACATTTGGGGGAAAACGGTGGAAAATCCGGTTCTGAAACCGTGACGCAGGCCTGCTGATGAAAGACCAGTTGCAAGCACAGGCGCCATCTAATAAGAAGCATTTGCGGCCCAGAAGAAGCGTAAGAGATGTTGCATATCAGAGAACGGCCCATCTCTTAGTTCTCTGGAGTACTTAGGAAAAGAGCCACCTGGCTTGCCGTCGAGACGCGGGCTACGACTTCAGCACTCGGCCTCTACACAGCCCCCCTCCCGGACCGACTCGAGGGTGGGTAGGGCTCATCTGCGGCTTCGGCGGTCCAGTTCAGCCGTTTGCCGTTCACACAGCTAATGGCTTCAGCTTTCAGATTCGGGCTGCGTCGCGCGCCTCTCGCGCTGGAGAAAA